GCAACAAAATTTGCAGTACAAAAAAGTTAGTGCGTATTTGATGACCAGATTTTCAATTTTTTTAATACTCACAATATGTATAAATTTTTTAAGAAGAAAAGGTTCAATAAAATATTACTGAGAAAATTTTATTCAATGATTTCGATATTCACTTTGGTTGTTCTTATTATTTCGAACACGTCTGTATCTACAAACGTACATTAAACGCACTAAGCACGAGGTTTATATGGTGATAGAAAGAGAACGAGATATTGCTATTGTCTGCTTTAAGAAATATTCCTTAATATATCTACACATATATACATATTTACTACATATTTTCATATCATACACACACTGAACATATGAATTTATAAAGCCTTTGTGATTTACATAAAATCACCGTTTATATTTGATATTTTCTGCTTTACAAGGTGACATCCTGACTAAGGCAGTAATTAAAAATGCACTTACATTTTTTTTTTTAAAGATAAATATATGTATTTTGGATAGAAACTTTATATATCTAATATTAAAAACGAATGAAAATGAGATTACCCCCACACTTTCAACAGTTTGGAAAGGTGACAAGTGTTACCGAAATTACTTTTATAAACTTCTGGTATATAAGAATTGTTGTATGAAATGTGTGCGCCGTTGCTTCTCGAGACCCATATAAAAAGAGTATAGCATGTAAATATGTGTTTGTGAATAGTGCATGAGCTAGTATTAAGCATATAACAGAAGACGGGTGTATCGTTCGTTGATTGCTGCAATGATGATGATATTTTTTGGGAGGCTTGAAAGTGAATGCCCCAGGCGCCATTAGCTTTGCCGCTCGACGCGTTTGGTATGAATTTGTATTTTCGCCATACTTTTCTTGTTTTGTTGTCTGCTTATTTTTGCATGACTTCTCTGACTGTATGGGCATTCATATAAATTTTTCGCCGCCATGGGATTCAATTGTGTTATTGCATTAACTTTCACTGTGTGATCATTTTCTGCTTCGGAACCGATAATATTTCTGCGCTATACTTTCGTCCCTGTCCTTTACAATTCCGTAAAGAAGGCAAGAATTTCATGTTGAGATAACTTATAAATATCCCGTCAATGCAATTGCAGACAAAACATAAAAATGAAGAAAGAAAGTACATTCGATGAGTGAAATATGCACGCTGCCTTATGTTTAAGTCTAGACTCGGCGAAAGATCTTTGCGCGCTGTACTTACTTGGTAGCCGACGCTGCATTGCTCTACTGCCAAGTAAAACGGCGATTTTCACTCAACAGTGCGGCAGACGCTAGGCGACAGACTCAAGGCGACAGACTCAAGGCGACAGACTCAAGGCGACAGAATCAACACTAAAATGCAGACTCCCTTGTTTATATTGAATTTCTAGTTTATTTTATATATACGCATATTTAAAAAGAGGATTTTCAA